AAGGCGGGGCGGGGGGGTGATTGAATGCTACATTCTTCTCCCTGGCTCCTCGGAGGGCTCCTATGTGCTCCTTCCAACCTTGTTTCCACTCAGAACAGACACACACTGGGCCACCCAGAAGTGAGGGGTCCTCTTCCAAAGCTGAAATTTACCTGAGAAAAGTCCTTAAGGCTGCCTCCACTCCCAGAAATGGCTGCAGGTGTCCATGAAGAATTTGATGTAAATATGCAGTTATTACTTTATAGAATACTGATGACACTGTGCTTGTGTGGATATGTAGAGACAGGCAGACAGACCAGGTTAATCTGCCCTGTATACAAGCTTTTTTTTCCCTTTTATCAAACCAACTTAGGATGAACCAAGAGGGAAAGGGGTTTGGGTCATCAAAATCTAGACAGAGGCAAGGACTCTGTGTGCAGTGAGAATGCTGGTGTGAAAACCTCATTTGGAACGTGCATCAGAGACACGTTTTCTTAGAAAGTTTATTGAGGTGACGTTGGTTAATAGGATCATACAGGTTTCAGGTATGGATTTCTGGGTTACAGGTTTTGTATATTGCATCGGTGTGCCTACCAATCAAGACAAACGTTTTCTAACAAGATGTGGGTAACCAAAGAAAAAGGTGGCAGTGCCTGGTTCATTTCTGGGCCCCGGGTTTTGGGGGAAATGTGGGCAAACGTAAAGACTAGCCAGAGCAGAACCAGATGGTGGCGTGTTGTAACCTGGCCCCAGGAGAACAAAGGGACAGTGAGGTTTCACCCAGACGGTTTCTCCACGGCTGTCCTGTAGGAGCATGAGATTTGAGACGGGCAGACAAGGTTTGAATCTCAGCTGCGTAGGTTGGGGCACGTTCTTAAGCCTGGTGAGCAGCGGTTTCCTCATCTGTCAGCTGGGCATAATAGTGTCTTCCTGACAGAATGATAAAGCTAATGCCTATTTAGGCATTAGCTTTTATCCACTTAGCAAGGATCCTGATACATGGTAAGGGGGATTTTAAGAAAATGTGTGTGAATTGATTGCTTATCTGTTTCACTCACTAGAACATTTGCTACATGAGGGAAGTGACTATGTTGAATGAACCGTTCTATTCCTGGTGTCTAGAACAGTCCTTAACACAAAGGTGTTCCTTAAATGTTATCTTAATTAATCAAATCAGGTTAAATGGCACTTGGGTTGTCAGACAGTAGGCTCCCCTTTAATATTCAGAAGCGAGTCAATGATGGTAAAGGAAATAGCATTTCTGTAGTATTGGACAGCATCTGGCTTCTGCATGACCACAGCCATGGTCAAATTCCTGTGCACTTCATCCTCTCATGAGAGTCTTCTTTGAGCACATTTGCAGCAACATCCCACAGAACTTAATTCTGTGGCCCCACTGAACTGTAGGGGAGGCTGGAACTAGAATTTAGCTGTGTCCCAGGAGGAAGTATAACTGTATTCACTTGGTAACAATAGACCATTGGATGATCTATAATCCTCAAATGCCTGGGAGGTGGTTACTCTGTCCCCATAGATTTAAAATCTCTGACCCGCCGAAACCGGTTTGGCTCAATGGATAGAGCGTCGGCTTGGGGACTGAAGGGTCCCGGGTTCGATTCCGGTCAAGGGCATGTACCTTGGTTGCGGGCATATCCCCAGTAGGGGGTGTGCAAGAGGCAGCTGATCAATGACTCTCTCTCATCGATGTTTCTAACTCTCTATCTCTCTCACTTCCTCTCTGTACAACATCAATAAAATATATTTAAAAAAAAAAAAAAATAAAAAAAAATAAATAAATAAAATCTCTGACCCTCTGAGAAGTTGAGCTACACAACCAAGATCAGACAGCTAGTGACCATGTGGCAAGACCAGGGCTTTGATCAGGAGCCCTGGGATTTTCCTGTCACTTGGGTATTAGAAAATTCCAGACAATACCAGTCATTTCGGTATTGTCTTGCTCATGATTTTACCTATGCTTAGCACGTCTGTATAGCCTTGAACTTGAATATTTTTTATACATTTGTTAACATATGGGGTTATTCTTCAGAATTCAGTCCTATTCATTCCAAGTATCTTCTTTGATCTTACCAGAATTTAATAAAAAGGAGTCTTATTATGTTATTTTTATTACTAAAAAGTACTTTATTCAATAATAAAGGTAATATAACAACAACAAAAAATTTATTTTTTTGTTGATTTTAGGAAGGGAGAGGGAGAGATAGAAACAACAATGATGAGAGAGAATTACTGATGGGCTGCTTCCTGCATACCCCTTACTGGGGATTGAGCCCACAACCCAGGCATGTGCCCATGACTGAGATCGAACCCAGTACCCTTCAGTCCTCAGGCTGACGCTCTATCCACTGAGCCCAACCAGCTTGGGCACAACAAAATTTTTTATATATTATTTTATAGCATTCTGTGATAATTGGATTTTTTTTTATTGATTTTGAGAGAGAGAGAGAGAGAGAGAGAGAGAGAGAGATACATCAACATAAGAAACATTGATCGGTTGCCTCCCATATGCACCCCTACCTGGGATCAAACCCGCAACCTTTTGGTGTAGGGGGACTGATGCTCTAACCAACTGAGCCACCCTGCCAGGGGATAACTATCTATAAACATATATATGTACAGTAGGTGTTTAAAATGGCACCTATTAACATATTCAAAGATTTAAAGAACTTGACTTAAGCTAATGTAAAGATGGAATATCCTACACTATTAAACGTCATTTGCCAGCCCACACCTAAACAACTGTGTTCCACCTGCAGACACTGAGCTGGGCGTCTCAGTCTCCTTTTCCTTTTCTTCTGTTTTCAAGATCAGACAGCTAGTGATTACACATCAGTTAAAACACTTCCACTTCCTCTTTGGTGCTGCCCCGGAACTCCCCTGCCCTCAACCCTCTGTAGGATACAACATGATCTCCTTCTTGCTCACAAAGTCAAAGCCTTTTGAACTTCATGTTCAAAAGCAGAAAGGAAAGTTCACAGCAACGTCTAACTCCCACCGTGTCTGTCCACCCCTCACCCTACCATCCCCCACTTTACCATAGAAAAGGTAACAGCACCACTCAGTTATCTGAGGGTACACTGAGGACCCTCACCCTTGTGACAGCAGCACAGTTTTCCAGTGTGCGAGGTACCTTGGTTTATCCAACTGGTCTCCTGTTTGCTGTTACAATTGGTAATCTCATCTATACCCACACAGATAGCTCTGCAGGAGAGTTTCCTGGAGGGGGATTTCCAGCTCAAAGGGTAAATGCATGGGTAATGTTGGTATTGCTCAATTTCCCTTAAAGGGTTACCTGGCACTCTGTACTCCCACCAGGGAGCCCTTTGCTACCACCCTTTATAAAAGGTAACCTCCCCACCGGCTCCTATCACTGTCTTTTTCTCCGTGGCCTTTATTGAATACCTGACTGATATGGAATGTATGTATTTAGTATATACTGATTTTTTTTTTTAATTCTCACCCAAGGATATTTTTCCATTGATTTTTAGAGAGAGTGGAAGAGAGAGGGAAAGACAGAGAAATATCGATGTGAGAGAAATACATTGATTGGTTGCCTCCTGCACATGCCCTGACCAGGGCCCAGGCAAGGGAGGAGCCTTCAACTGAGGTACGTGCCCTCGACTGGAATTGAACTGAGGACCGTTTGGTCCACAGGCTGACACTCTATCCACTGAGCCAAACCAGCCAAGGCATATATACTGATTCTTTATGTGATCGCTGTTTGGCTTCCTGGGCTGGAGTCCCTGGCCTGAGGACTGAGCCCACTGGCACAGATAGTCTCTTGTGTTCATAGGATGTAAGATGCTAAATTTTCCATTGTCTTTAACCTGGAGTGACAAGGAGCCCCTAAGCATGTGGGGGTTAGAACAGTTCCTGGTGACTGTTCATACTGTTCATGGGAGTCCGCAAGATGCCCAGGATCTTAATCCGCCAAGAATGAGATACAGCTTCAGTCCAGAGAGAGATTTTTGTCTAATGACTGTACCAGCTTCCAGCAGTCCTCAGTCACAGACAGCGCATCTTGTGAACTCTGCTGCAGCAATCCTAGGGATACTGTTTCAGGCTATTTAGGAAGAGAAAAATATAAACAGGCCCTTCATCTCTGTTTGGTTTGAATTTATTTAGTTTTCCCCAATAACTAAACTAAGTAAAAGTAACTGTACACACCAACCGTAATATTGTTTGTTTGCTTTTGAAGTGTTTCAGCTGTGTTTTTAATCTGCCCCACACTCTGTGTCCTGAGTCCCCCAAGGATTGTGTTCAGTCCCTCCCAACCGGCTCAGCTCCCCTAGGCACGTCCTTGCGTGCACTCTGGGATCCCTGCTCTGGTCTCCCTCCCGCCACTTCAGGGCTAAGGGGAAGATTCCATCTGTGGGCCACAGGTGTAACCATGTATGTCCTGGTCTGAATCATGGGTGTGCTGGTCTAGAAGCTGGAAGGTAGCACCTTGTTCCAGAATATTCCTCTTCTCTCTGCCCTATTGATATCCTATGGATTCTCCCTTTCTCTCTCTTTCCCTAAAGAGAAAGAGAGGCTATTGCACTGAGCAGGTAGGAGGCTAGACATTCCTAGACCTTCAACTTGATTAGTTCTAGTCACCTATTTTCTGCTCCCGGTTTGGTTCACTGGGAAAAAAAGTCCTGCAAAGTTGTCCTCAGCCAGGCATTTTCGGACCAAGTTTGAATTTGTGAACCTCCTTTTTCTGTTCTGTGAAGATGAAGTGGCAAGTGAGAACTTATGGATGAGAGAGAGAGGTGGGCCTGGCTTTCCCTGGACCGGACTGAACTTTAAAACTTCTCTAGTAAGTAAACAACACTGGGCCCCACACTTTGCTTAACCCTGGTAGCTGGTCATCAGCCTCTGACCTCAGTCCTCCTCTCCTCGCCAGCCCCTCCCCCGCCCTCACCTCTGGAACCTCAGATTTAGAGGAAAGAGCCAGTTTTCACAGGGATTGCCTCGGCCACACTACCTCCACTTGTCCAGCCCGTGGGAGATTAGTGACCATGTTTCCCAGCGGGATAGGATCTGCGGCTGCTGGAAGAAGGTAAGAGGGGCTCTTTGCAGGTTCTCACGGGTTCCTGACCTCGGAAGGACCCGCAAGGATGATCTCCACACCTTCAAGGAGACTAGGCCCTCTCCCAGGTGGTCACAATCAAAGACAGCTCGTTTGCAGGATGTCATTCCATGCCCCCTCCCTCCGCCCCCTCTTGGGGTAAGGCCTTCTCCTAAGCCACACCTTGGGCTCTTAGCCCAAGAAGCCCAGGGCCTCCTCTTTCCCTGAAGGTGCTGTGCCAGTCCCAGCCCTCACAGTGGTCCCGAGACCCTCCGAGGGGAACTCCGGGCCCGCGGAGCCTCTAAAATCCTGCAAGGTTAATCTCCTAACTCCCTTTTGGTTCTTCCTGCTGTTTGGATGCCCTTCTCCGAGATTTTGGTGACCTTTGATGCAAGGGCAGCAGCCCTGTTCTCTCCTCCCTTCACGCCACACACATTCTCTCCCTGATCTGGTTGCTGGAGGAAGCCAGACCTGAGGCTGTGGCTCAATCATCTGGGTTTTCCTTGGTGTTTAACAGAGCTCCCTGAACCCCGTCAGCCTCCACTTGTGTTTGCAAATGTGGTGGAGGGGCAAAGTGGGGAGCAGAGCAACAAGATGGAAGATGAATGGCAAGATTCTATCTCTGCTCCCCCCACTTCCCCACTTACTACCCCCTACCCCTGGCCTCCCATCCTTCCCTCAGCGCCTCCACTCCTCTCCCATTCCGGGCTTCTGTTCTGCAAACAGCTACAAAGTTGGCCTCAGATCACACACAAACAAGTACCCCTCAGCGGCCCCCAGCTTCCCGCCAGCCCCCCACTTGCCCAGTAGATCTCCCCAACACATCTTTCCAGCCCTGCCAGCTGTCTTTTCTTAGGAGACCTGGTACCACATAGAGACTCCCTTTTCCAGACCCAGGGACTCAAGCCTGCCAGAAGAAGCCCTGGCCCAGCCAGTCTTATCTGTAAAACACAAGAGAGTTCATCTCTGGGTTTGCTTACTTGGGTGTCCCAACTCTAATTTTCCAATCTTGTGATCTCGTGTTTTTTTGTTTGTTTGTTTTTTGTTTTGTTTTTTTAACTAGAAGCCCAGTGCATGAAATTGTGCACAGGTAGGGTCCAGCCAGCCCACCCCAATCAGAGATGATCAGGCCATGCTGGCCGGGGGCTGGGGCTGGGGACGGGGAACGTTCTACTGGAGGTTGGCTGGTTGGTCCCACTCCCAATTGTGGTGGGGAGGTGATTGGGGATGGGCACAGCTTGGGGGAGGGACTGGGAGTGGTTGGCAGGTTGGCCCCGCCTCTTGGTCAAACTCCCAGTGGAGCTCCAGGTCAAGGGGACAATTTGCATATTAGCCTTTTATTATATAGGATTAGACTCATTTACCTTTAGTGAACCCATGTGGGAAGCTATTAAGATTCCCAGGCAGCAGACAATTATGAGGCCTGAACTAAGGTAATGAGAGAGCAAGGAGAAGAATTAATCGAATCTAGATCTGACTAAATGACGAGGTGGAAGGGAAGAACCAGGGTGACCCCCAGGTTTTGGGATTGGACCACAGGGTGTACGAGGGTTCCATCTGCTGAGCTGAAGGACACAGAAAAAGAAGCAGGGATGTGGTTGCATTTTTATTAAGGAATATGCAGGGCATCCAAGTGGGGTTATCTAGCACACAATGGGGCTGGAGCTACGAATGTGGGAGTCTTTAGCACATAGAGTGCCTTTGCCCACTCCTTCCTTCTTATCCCTCGTGTTAGGGAAATCTCTCTTGTGTATCAGTGAAAACCTTCCACTCCTTTTCCATCCAGGCTAAATTACCAACACAGCTCTGTAAGTGGGCTCCCACTGCTACCCTCCCTCTTCCTTGGGCATTAACGCTTCCTGCCTATTTTTCATGCGTGCACATCCCATCTCACCACTGGAAACTCGGCATTCTTTATTTCTAATAACCATCTGTTGCTGCAGTGGTTGATTCCAATTTCAACATGAACTATCCACTTGTAGCGAATCCAGGACTGGACTTGCCCTGGGCCCTTGTATTTTACAAAGTCCAAGGTCCAGCGGTGGTTTGGCGTCCTATGCCTTACTGGGGCACATCTGTGATGGGCAGTGGGATCGGGGGTCATCCACACCTAGCTTAATGCAGCTTTCTGTCCCCCTGTAGGCAGGTGTGTCTTTTCTCCTTGCTGCTCCTTGGTCTCTGGGGCTGTGTGACCTGCCACTGGAGCCCTGTGGAGGACATCTGCACAGCCAAGCCTCGGGACCTCCCTGTGAATCCCATGTGCATTTACCGCACCCCAGAGAAGAAGGCCCCAGAGGAGGAGGGCTCAGACCAGAAGATCCCTGAGGCCACCAACCGGCGGGTCTGGGAACTGTCTAAGGCCAATTCCCGCTTTGCCACTGCCTTCTATCAGCATCTGGCAGACTCCAAGAATGACAATGACAACATTTTCCTGTCTCCCCTGAGTATCTCCACAGCTTTTGCTATGACCAAGCTGGGAGCCTGTGACAACACCCTCAAGGAGCTGATGGAGGTACAGTCCAGGGCCCTCCTGCCCGGCTCCTAACTATGTGTCCTGGTCTAGAGCCCTTTGGAGCATGTAGGCGCTATCCCAGTCTGTGTTTCTTTTCCCTTTTATCCTTCCTCCTTTTATTCTTCTTTTCATCCATGTGTTCATTTAGAAGACAGGTCCTGAGCATTTATGCTGACCTGAAGGAGCTCCCAACTGAGGTGGCTCTTGGTCAGGGACCCACAGCACCATGCTCACAACTTGTGGGAACACCACACCCACCACTGTTTCCTTTGGCTTCTACAGGTTTTTAAGTTTGATACTATCTCCGAGAAAACATCGGACCAGATCCACTTCTTCTTTGCCAAACTGAACTGCCGACTCTATCGGAAAGCCAACAAATCCTCTGAGTTGATATCCGCCAACCGCCTCTTTGGAGACAAATCCCTTACTTTCAATGAAACCTACCAGGACATCAGTGAGGTGGTATATGGGGCCAAGCTCCAGCCCCTAGACTTCAAGGTGAGTTACACGCGTTATTCCTGACCTTAAAGCTCTTCCTCTTCCCTAAGGGATTGAGATAGAGAAGCAGGATCCAAATGAACACTGCTATGCGGGTGAGAGGCTGGTGGAGGGGCATTCTAAGTCATAACCCCAGGAACATTCACTCTTGTTTAAAACCGGAATCGAACCCGGGACCCTTCAGTCCCCAAGCCGACGCTCTATCCATTGAGCCAAACCGGTTTCGGCTTTTTTAAAAAATATATTTTATTGATTTTTTTTTACAGCGATGAGAGGAGAGAGAGGGATAGAGAGTAAGAAACATCGATGAGAGAGAAACATCGACCAGCTGCCTCCCGCACAGTCCCCACCAGGGATGTGCCCGCAACGAAGGTACATGCCCTCGACTGGAATCGAACCTGGGACCTTCCAGTCCGGAGGCCAACGCTCTATTCACTGAGCCAAACCGGTTCTGGCACAAGTAATAAATTTTTCATTTCCTCTACCAAGTTCACATATATACCCAAAGCAATTTTGGAGATGCCAGTCCTACCAGAGATCTTATTTAATTCAATGTTTTAAAGTTACCATGATCAAAATTGGCATGTGGTGTATGTTATGTTCTCCGCTTGGAGGTTCATGAGGCACCAGAGGTATTAAGTGTCTGAGAAGTTCTGCAGTAAAGAAGTCTAGAGACTTTAATTCAAGCAGCATTTCTTAGGCATTTTTGACCACATGAACATCCCTCCTGTCCTGCCCCCCTCCCTCCCTCATCAGCTTCCCACAGAACATGTTTTGGAAACCTGAACTCTTGTGAGTTCATGGCACTGTACTAGATATGTGAGGTTTCCCCAATCCAGGTTAGAGTGATGGCTTAACCACATGGTGGGAAAGGACAGAGGGATGAAGGATAAAATAAAATGCTGCAAGGGGGAACGGAGAAGATGGTTGAATAGCACAGGTGGGTAGGTTTGTTTCCTGTCATCTTTAGGAAAATCCAGAGCCATCCAGAGTGACCATCAACCAGTGGATATCCAATAAGACCGAAGGACGTATCACTGACGTCATCCCCCAGGATGCTATTAACGAGCTCACTGTCCTGGTGCTGGTTAACACCATTTACTTCAAGGTAAATGACCTTGGTAAACTGACCTCTGACTTGCAGAGGCCCTGTGATTTGATTGTGCAGATGGCCTTATCTTTCTCAGAAAGTCAAAAATTCTGAAGATTGTTCCAAACTATGTTTGGGGAGAAGGACGGGGTGCGGGTGGTGGGAATGAACAGCTTCCTGACACAGTCAGGATGGTCACCCGTTGAAGGTGGGTAGAATTGTGGCACATTTGCACATCCTGGGTCGTGCTCCATATGCATTCCCCCTCCTCCACAGGCATTTAGCCCAGGGGTTTAGCCAGTCAACTGCTGTGGCCAACCACTTCGCTGCCTGGGGTTTCCTTCTCTCCAAGAGTGGAGTAGATTGCATTTCCATAGGGTCTATTGCTCTTGACTGTTTAGGGCACACTTTGCCATTAATTAGCCCTCCCAATCCTCCTGACATCACAAATGTGACTTTGGACTGCTCAGACAGGTTACTTAGTATAAAATCCAGACTCTTTGATCTTGACTGCTACTTGAACTTGGCCTTGCTACCTGCAACCTTTCTCTGTCCCAATTCCTGCATCTGTAAAATGCTGGTAATTATATACCATAACTGCATTACTGAGGGGACTAAGCTGATGCATGTATAATGCTTGGAGTAATGCCCTGCACACAATGAAAGCCCTACAAATACTAGTGATCACCAGCTCCAAATGTTACAAAAGAAGGCCCACTGCTCAGAGCTAAGTTAAATGACTTGTCCCTAAATTAAAGAACCAGAAGATAACAGGGATGGTCATTAAACTTCAGAGGAGTGTCTTGTATCTCTTCCCTTTGACTGAGAACTTGGACAGGATGCACCCTCTGCCTGGCAGGGCTCCTGGATAACTCCCTGGGGATAGTGTGTGTGTGTGTGTGTGTGTGTGTGTGTGTGTGTGTGTGTGTCCCCAGCATTTTGGATGGTGGCCTTGGAGAAAGAGGCTGTTGGGAGAAAGAAAGCAAAAAGCAATTCGATTTAAACTCAAGGAGAGACTTGTGAAGAGGCCAGTAGGTTTTTCTTGGTTTTAGTTTTTACTTTTCTTATTATAAAATCAAATAGACAATCATTGCTAAAAATCTGGGAAATACACAGAAAGTTCACAGAAAGAAAACACTCTGACATACTAGTCATCATTCATCTTTTCACGCAGAGCCCTCTAGTCATCTTTCCTAATAATTATACGTACAAGTTAACCTAACAAAATGTGCACATCCCATGCCAAGATCCTCCTGGTCTTCTTGCTTTGTGATTCTTCCACCTGGCGTCTTCTTCCAGGGCCTATGGAAGTCGAAGTTCAACCCTGAGAACACAAGGTCAGAACCTTTCTACAAGGCCGATGGGCAGTCGTGCCCGGCATCCGTGATGTACCAGGAGGGCAAGTTCCGCTATCGGAAAGTGGCAGAAGGCACCCAGGTGCTCGAGTTGCCTTTCAAGGGTGATGATATCACCATGGTGCTCATCCTGCCCAAGCCTGAGAAGAGCCTGGCCAAGGTGGAGCAGGAGCTCACCCCAGAGGTGCTGCAGGAGTGGCTGGATGAGCTGGCGGAGACAATGATGGTGGTCTACATGCCCCGCTTCCGCATCGAGGACAGCTTCAGTGTGAAGGAGAAGCTGCAGGACATGGGCCTTGTGGACCTGTTCAGCCCGGAGAAAGCCAAGCTCCCAGGTTAGTGGGGGGAAAAGACTTTACGCCTTCCTCTGCCCACAAGGGGGTCTGACCAAAGGTGGAAGAATGGGAGGGATGCCCCAACTGGTTTGGCTCAGTGGATAGAGCGTCAGCCTGCGGACTGAAGGGCCCGTCCCAGGTTCGATTCCGGTCAAGGGCATGTACCTTGGTTGTGGGCACATCCCCAGTAAGGGGTGTGCAGGAGGCAGCGGATCGATGTTTCTAACTCTCTATCCCTCTCCTGTCCTCTCTGTAAAAAAAATTAATCAATAAAATATATTTAAAAAAATAAAAAGAATGGGAGAGTGAAAAAGAGCCACAGGTGGGACACCTGGATCTAATCCAGTTCTACTGTGAACTCAGGGAACTCCCCTTTCCTCTCCAGGGCTCAGCTTTCTCTTTGGGAGAAGGGGGAGGTAGCTCTTGGTTCTCCTGGGGCCCAGCTGGCACAAGAACACTTTGAGTCTGTCACTGATAGAAGAGATGAGGCCAGGGAGAGAAGAACTTGGAAAGGCATCAAATTCAGAGCAGAGATGGATCTGATGAAGAGCTGGGGACATCTGGGTCAAACAACACAGGGTAGCTGACATCTGGTAGCCCTTCACCTGCTATTCCAAAGGGCTCCTGTGTTTCCCTCAAGGTCACTTGGACAGCCAAACCTTTCAGCTTACCATGTTAGGTGACTGGATTGACCTTTAATGGGCTATCTTTAAACTAGGTCTGAAAACCAATCCCTCTCTTATAAATGCTGCCAGATTGGAAAGACATTCCTACCAGATAGAGTTTTTAAGAACAGAGCCTCTTCCTCCACTATCCCCCTCTTCCTCTCTCTTCCCCCACCAAGGACTGAAGCATGAGACTCAATTCACGGAGCCAGGCTGAGAAGCCCTGTGTACGTTCTTACTGTTACCATATGTGGTATTTTGAGGGTGTCATTAGGTGAGGGTCCAGAATGGTTTCCTATTTTCCAAAAAAAAGCCCCAAAGGGCCTCTTAACGAATCTGGATTCCTTTCTCCCATGTCACAGAGCCTTCTCTGGTCTTCCTCGTAGGTATTGTTACCGAAGGCCGGGACGACCTCTTCGTCTCTGACGCGTTCCATAAGGCATTTCTTGAGGTGAGTACACCTCCCTTTGCTCTCTCTTCTGCTTTTTTATTCCCATGTTGTTTTATTATTCATTCATCAATATCTTCTGGGATTTGTAACTTTGGGAGTTCTTGTTTCACTGGCTGTCCTAGTATAGCTAGTAGATGCTTGAACTGCCCCCTACAACACAGCCCTGCCCTGAAGCCCCGGGGTCTCATTGTTCCAACCTCCCTTCCCGTGTCTTTCCTGAAGCAGGTGAAACAGGGACACGAATATCAAGGGAAAGGAGCCAGCAGAGGGTTATCATGAAGAGGCACAGACCACTCTAGTGATAGTTACCATTTTCCGAAGGCATCTCCCTCTAGATGGTGGCGCTTCTGCTTATCAGCAAATTCAAATGCCATTGTTTCAGTCTATTACTCCAAGGAAGCTCATCTCCAGCCAGGGAGAGGGTCTTCCTCTTTTCAGAGGCCCTAGGTCCCGAGTGGTTGCTTGGGGTACTTTTATCTGGGAGCCTGATGCACCAAGGGTGAAACTATTTCAACGGTAGAGCTCAGTTCATGAGTCAAAATCCCTTTTAGCATCAAGTACAACGTAATCCCCTTGAAATGCCACGTACCATGTGCCAGCCAGGAATGTGATAACCTTGTCTCCATTCAGATTTCTGGTTCAGCAATTATCTGAGGATCTGGCCAAAGGCTTAGATGAATCCAAATGCCTACATCAATACTCACTGGGTGGAAGAATGAGAATCAGCAGGGTTCCAGATGGAACCCCAGCTGGCCCAAAGGCACTTTCCACCGGGTGGCAGATAGCGCTTGGAGGAATGGCTGTGTCTGCGCGTGAGGCCCCGGGGTCTACTGAACGGCAGAGCAGCTAATGCAGCAATTTGTCTCCTGTTTGACCTGCAGGTGAATGAGGAAGGCAGTGAAGCAGCAGCTAGTACCGCCATCATGATTGCTGGCCGTTCACTGAACCCCCACAGGGTGACCTTCAGGGCCAACAGGCCCTTCCTGGTTCTTATAAGGGAAGTTGCTCTGAACACTATCATCTTCATGGGCAGAGTAGCCAACCCTTGTGTGAACTAGAGGGTTCCGATTCCTTGCACCTCCTCCTATTTGGTTTGTGAACAAGGTAAAAATAAATACAATTACTCCCATCTCACCAGTACGAATGCACATTGCCACCTGAAAGGAAGACGAGGGAGGGAGAAGCTGCTAGACGTGCTATTGGGCATTTGGTAAAATGATGATTTTATTTGTTACCAGTGAACACATCTGGATAAAGAGAGTGAAGGATGTGTGACTGCAGCATCCTGAAAAGATGGTAGGCATCCCGGAAGGGCAGGGGGGCTTGACATCAGGGTATTCCCACCTTACAAAAAAAATCCCCCAATTTAAAACTCGTTGATCTCCATGTACAGAAAAACAGAGACTCAAATCTGAGTATTAAATCATTTAATTCTCAAACCACTCACATGCATAATGTTCTTTTACACAGTGTTAAAATAAAGAGGAAAATGTATTTTTATACAGACTTTCAAGTATACATTAATAGACTTTTCAGATTACTAACCAAGTTGCTAAGATTTCATTCACATTGTTCTTAAAGCTGTCCAACGAGAAAGCTTTTGCTAAGCTGCTTTAAATATGTTCATATAAACCCATCTCTTCACTCTTTCTTGGAATCTCCCGCCCCCAACCCTAGTCTCCGCCCACCCTCCTGCCCTCCCCCCTCCCTACACAACAGGGCTCCTGGGCTCTAGGAGGCATGCAATCCCACCAAGAAAGATTGGCTTGTCATCAGGGGAAGGACAGAACCTACAGGAGGAGAGAATGAGCACACCTGCCAAATTAAGGGCGGAAACCTTAGAAATGACACAAGTCAGACTCCTATCTTACAGCCTTTGCATTTTCACTTGACTTTCTAATGAAAAAAAATCTGCCTCCCACAAAACAAGCCAGAAGTTTCTGATAGTCTGGTAGCTGAGAAAATAATACCGGTTACTTTTCCCAGTGAAACTTCTAAAATCAGGGGAGGCATTTTGAACTTTTTCCTTTTGGTTGTTTCATTTTCCCTTTGGCTGGGGGTGGGGACAGCTTAAAAATGGATGTTTTTTAGTTGTGTGTTTGCATTAAGGAATTTGGTTCATTTCACAGGGTCTGTCTGCCCGGCAAAAGAGTTCTCTCTCCTCAACTCTCCTCCTGAAGTAATCTGGCTTTAGGGCTGGAAACAGCCACTCTCCTTAGGAATTAAAGTGCATTTTTCAGTAAAAAGGGGTGTGTGGGGGTGTGGTTTACACTTAAGTGATAGTGATTAAAAGAGGGTGGGGTGAGAGGAAATCCTATTCCTATATATATATAGGTATTTATAATTAAGGTCATAATAAAAATCAATACTCTCTAAGGAAATAAGATGCGCAAACCAGCCAGGCACCCTCTGAAGTGCAAGGGTACAAGCCTTGCTCACTGACTTGTCTGAGGCATCTTGAAGCGACCTGGAGTAGTCGCTGCCGATGAAAGACACAAACCACAAGGTTTAGTTTTTTCAAAGGGAAAAAACAGACTGATAGGTTCTCATAGTTAAAAACGACCTCATTCCCTTTCAGGGATAACAGCATTTTAGAAACTGATTGTCTGTTTTAATATGAATCCTTGATTAGCAAGTTGTGAAAAAATGTTAGGTTAAGTCTGTTGCTTACAAATATTATGGTAGCTTTTAAAAACTCAGGCGGAGGGGGCATGGTAGGTGCTTGCTATCAATCGGTATCAGCAGAGGAGAAGTGAAACTTCCCTGTAATCTCCTTATTTGATAGCTACCACTATTTTCCTTTTAGTAGGAAAACCATTTATTATTTCTTGGGGGACAATCCCAAGAGTTTTCCAAAGAGAACTAAGTGCTACATCATTAGCTGTATGCAAAAGTGATGGGCTCAAAATGAGGGGGAATTGTCCTGGAGTCTGGCCTCTGAGTCCAGTGTGATCTGCTTTTCACAGTGACCAGTGGGAAGGCACAATGCCAGGGACAGTGGGTGGGGACAGTGTCACCCAGCAGATAAGCACCATAGAGAACAGATTTCTTCCAGACCACGTCCATCTGACAGAAACCGAGTTTTGGCTACACGACTCTTCTGTCTGAACCTCAGTCTTCTCTCCTTCTCTTCCAATCTACTTTTCCCTTTCCTCACATATGCTGAACTGCCCCAAACTGAGTTTTTTCAGATTTCTGAAAGAAGCCCTTGGTTCCTGATTGAACTGGCAGTGCTCTTTAAGGTCTGCCATGAGATCACAAAAAAAGAAAAGAAAAAAAAAGAAAAAAAGCAACGGGCTCAGCCTGTGAACACAGACCACAGCAGACGAAAAGTGAGAGGCTGAGGCAGAACTCATTGCTTCTGCCTAGAGGTTGGGAGTGTCTTACTTTTGTTGAGAGGAGCGGGACGGGGCAGGTGATGAAACTGTGGTCAGACTAGCCTCTGGTCAGCTGCTTCCAAAAGGATTTCTTAGAGGTTTCAAAGGAATCAGCAAGCTGACCCAGGAGGGCAGAAGAACTTGACAGAACTTCACGGTCCTGATAGGGAATGTTTTGTTTCTTGCTTAAAATACAGTACAAGTTCATAAATACATATATTTTTTTAATCATACCTTCCCCATCCTCTTCCACTGTCCCCACTCCCAATCTTAAAATCCAGTGCGGCATGATTTGCATAAAGTTCAACAACGTTTCACAGTACTCCACTATGCTCTTCAGCAGGAGAACCCCATGGGCCACTCTCCCGATGCAGACAAGTCCCAAAGGCTGCCGCTTTCCAATCCACCCAGTATCAGGAAGCCTTCACACGTTTTCTAAGGCATAGGAGGCGTTTTCTCTAAGTGACACTGCAGCATTTGCATGCTAAGTAAATAGTCAGGCCTTAATGTTACTGTAATGAGATTTCATAGCCTGATGCTAATTCAGTCCTCTGCACTAACCAGTCTTTCCTTTTTGACCCACTTTTTCTTCTCAAATGCACCAGCTATTTGAAATTTAAATGATCAGCTATTTGTAGGCAATATATGAACGAATTTCTATGGTGCCCAGAATTCTCTCAAGAGAGTCCATTATGTTGAACCTGCTCTGAAACACAAATTGCTTTCATGAATTAGAAATTACTGGGTAGCTCCTTAGTTTGAACAGTGGCTCTCACTTTTTATGGGAAATCAAACAGTTCCTCCCTTTCATTACCATGTGTGAGGTTGCCATGGGCAGGTACCTTTACTACTGCAGTGGAAAGAAGGAAAGATATGAAACCTCATTTGGGAATTACTAGATTAGATCTTTGACATCCTGGAACAAAGATGCTAAAATGATTATTTCACATTTCTTATAAAATTCAGAAACATTTAAACCTTAGCCTGTGCATTTCATTCACAAAGAAGGAAGAATGAAAGACACTTTACATAGACATCCTACATAGAAGCCAGCTAAGAGATTGGTCACCCCAGACAACCGAATGATCACCCAGAAAGGAGCCTTTTCTCTGCACTGACTTTAACAATGCTTCTCAGTTATTTTACAAATAGAGGTCCCCCTAGGTGGCGTGGCTTGGCTCTTATAATAAGGTCAAGGGTTCTATTTTAGAGGCAGAACTGAGAAACCTCCACTCAAATCATCTATGTAAAGGAAAGTGGGTTCTAGAGACCAGACTTTAAAAATATGCTTTGTTTACTTATGCAGACTTTGTATCTGGTATAGAGAGGAATGGAATGGATGGCAACATCTCTCTCCAGAATGACTCTGAGGACAAATGGATGATCTATTGTAACGCCTGAGTGTTGGCCCACCCACCATAATCTTTAAACTCAGAGCCATGCCTCGGGTATCAATAAAGGTTATCAATAAAGGTATCTGATGAGGGAGGTCTATGGGCCAAGTTAAAAGGCTCTAAACTAGAAAGCAGTAAGACCAGTGTTCACCCAAGTCACAGGGAAGAAACGGAAGTCTCCATGCTTCCTCCCAATTCACAGATTTAACATGCCTCAAAGGAATGATCTAGGTGTTTCTCACTGTTGTATTTGTTCTGTTTTTAAGGAAATCACTTTAGCTGTACTGGCTGCACCATCAACAGTAAATTACTGATTTTAGGTAAGACTACCTTAAGCATGTGGTATAGCAAAACAGCGGGGGACCGGCCTAGGACAGAATCTGGGCCCAAACAAAAGACAAGCCAGAAGTGAGAATTTTCTTAAGCAGAGTTAATTCCTGAGTCCAGGATATCAGCCTGGCTTATACACTGACAATTATTTTACAGTTATACAAAAAATAGCTGTGGTGGATAGATTCACATTGATTTTACTGCCTCATCTCCTACAGGATTCGTACTGTATTCAGTTGTCACCTATGAGTAATGCTTGTCTAATTATTTGAAATTTCACACTGTCGGTATCATCACTTGTCCTACTCAGTTACTGGGTAAATGAATATTTATTAGCTGGTACCTAAAACAAAGAAGCCAACTTCTAAAAATATGAAACTGGATCACTCTCTCTCATCTTCACTCCTAATTAGACATCAGGACCAGCCAGTGCATTCGAAAGAAAAGGCGGAAGCTTTCAAGGGTACCAATTAAAGGGCCAGTGGCCTTCCCCAGCTGTAACAGATGTTCCAAGGGGAGGTGGCCTGATGTGGCTCAGTGTACCAGTGCCCCAAACAGCTGGACTTCAAGATTAGGTGGCCTGCCTAGTGGTATTTTACTATTAAAATTACATTTTCGGACACCCACAACATTCAAGTGAGGCCATCCTGACTATTGTAACAGTACCGGCATTAAAAATAGGAACGCCTCTCTTTGGAGTGACAAAAAAGCAAAACAGGCCCTCCAGAAGGCCATGTAATCCTCACCTCCATGTCAAGATATTGGCAGAAGGCTCATTACCAGGAAAATATGGTTTTTATTCCAGTCCCCCCAAAATGGACTGCAAAATGGCAACTGAAAACAACAACAACGCAGGATTCAGACACATTTTTCACATCATTAAAAGGAGTTGGGTGCATCTTTGAAAACAACAGAAAGGCTCCACTTCCACTGACTGCTCCTGCCAAGTAGAAGCCAGCGGGTAAAAGCGCTGCCCCAAGTGTTCTGACACTTGGATCTGGGCAACAGCACAAACAGTGACATCTAACTTGACAAGGAGAAGGGGATCCGGCAGCCTCTCTATTTTGGGTCTGGCTTTCCTTTGCTTGCTACAGAAAGCTGCACTCTTTCTTCAGCCGAGTGCTCAGAGGTAGAGGAGCTGAAGTGAGTACGAGAGAGAATGGGGGACAGTGGCTGAGGAATCCAGCCTCCTGCCAAAGGGGTCGCGGGGCAACCTTGGAATATGCTCAGTCTTTAATGGGAGGTAGTGCACATCGACTCATCTGCCTTCATCAGACACCTTGGTCTCACATACATACATGAAATCACAGACACGGAGCTGGCCACTCACAACAATATTGCAACTTGCAGCAGCAGCACGCCTAACCTAACAGCTGCTTTCAGTCCCAATTTTATACTGCACTCCAGCTCTTCTCAGGTAGATGCAAGCCAAATCGGTTACTTTGAGGTCCCTCCTTTTGCCAGGCTTTTAAACATAAATTTCACTTTAGCACCTACATCTTTATCTCTGAAGAATAGCTGTACCAAGTGGGTGCAACGTGTTATAGCATCTTTATAAATAGAAAGTGCAAGAAATCATTTTCTTAGCCAAAATACAAACAAAGCAACAAAAAGCTCTCATAGCCTACTGTGCCAAGAATGAGATTTTTAGAATCCATGATACAACTAACAAAATGCTTCTAATGCTACCAAGGTCATAGCTGATGAGTAAATATTTATAAACATACATTTATGAAAAAAGATATTAAGAAAATAGCCAAACTACCCACAAGTTATTTGCATGAACTCTCTTTAGTATACCACTCTTGTGTTCAATGCACATGCATATACAAGTGAATTATATTAGTGTTATTTTTTTATTGGGCCAGTTTTCCAAAAAGAAAACAGGCTCATTTTTTAAAACTTCAAGTTACATGATTTAAAATCATTTTTTTGTAAAAATATTACAAATACCATAAAAATTCTAAAGTCTCTGCTGTCTGGCTGACAGCCATTCTAGAGGTGATTTCAGTCACACTCAGCGCGCCGTTTCAGCATCGTGGCTTTCCGAGGAAACGCATCTTAAGCTCTGTTCCCAGTGTTGTAATTCGGTTTATGTAGTGGTTCTTAAAGAACCACTAGAGTTAGGATTCTGTTACCTTATGGGAAACTCAGTAGATCGCCTTCTCATGACATAAATATCTGCTTTAAGATGCAGCTACCAGCAGAAATCTAAACACCCTTAAGGAATTTCTACTCACTTAGGTTGTGATTGGGCTTGTATTGGTCTAGACTTGTGATGCTGGAAAAAAAAAAAAAAAAAGAACAAATATTTTGTCAATCTACAAATTCCCTTTCTTCTCTGTTCTCTTTTGCAATTCAAAACCTCAGGATTGAGTTTCATCTAACCATCAGATGATTCCAGATTTAAGTCACCGAGAGCCTAGAGAAAGGCCCGGAGAGCTAGAAAATCCAGACTGAGAGACACCTCCACAGATTACCATGAGTTTTCATTCTCTGGAAATCTTTTCAAAAGCTTTCTCTATCACAAAGAGCAGACTTTCAGTGGAAATGTGGATCAAAAGAATATTTTAAGGTTTCTTTATTTTTCTTCATTAAAATCTGCCCCAATCTTTGCATAAGATCGAATTAATCTTGATGCCTACATGCCTCCAAGCACGCCATCCCAGCCTATCCAAAGCCTTCTCTTTCTTTCCCTTCCCAGTATTCTGTAGGGCCCTAAACTAACTCTTCAGCCCTGGGTGTTCCTTTTTCTCTTGTATTTGCAATTCCTGAGGCCTGGCCTAAGGACAGAGCTCCCTTTACTGTATGATAATTGGGTGACCAACTAGAACCCCTCCAGCTAACTTCAGGGATCCACGGCACAAGGAGTGGATGGATAATCCCAAATCTTTCTTCTTTTAAAAAGTGTATTGACTTGAGAATGATCATTTTGTTGCAGAATTTATTCTCCCCCTTTATTTCTTGTGGTGGCAGTTACAAGTCTAATTATTATTAGCCATCAAGAGTTAAAATAAAGCATCCTAAATCTGACAAAACTTCAATAATCTGTTATTTTAGATAAGAGAGGTTGGCAGCAACTGGTAACTTTAAAGGATTAACAAAATGTAAAATTGGGCAATAGATTTTCCTTATGAAAGGTATTAAAAGTGGGACGAACCTACTCGTCGCCTAGCACAAAACTCAGCCAGAGCAGGTGGATGGCAGTGACGATGGGATTAGGATACACAGGCAAAACTTACAATTATTTCAACAATGTAGTTGGTCCTCTAGCCGCTCAACAGAAACTCCTGTTGAAAGAGATTTGGTAGCCATATAAATTTCCCATGGCATGGGAGTTTTCACCTTATAAACTTAAAATATAACTGATATCTCAAGTTCTGTTACAGTAAGCTTTTCACTCACTCAGGAGTATTTCTGTCTCGGCATGTACAGTTTCTGTGGCTTCACAAAACAAAGAACTGGGCAAAAGCTCACAAGTTGGAACAAGAGAAAAAATGGATATTTTGCTGTAAGATAAATGAAACTCGGGAGCAGGTAGTAATAAAAATCTGTTGCACGTATGTGTCTCATTCTCCTAGCTCCTTTAATGGCCAATGCCAGACATAATAAGTGGTGTCTATGGAACAAACAATGGACCTAAATGAATGAACAGAGAAGAGTCAACACCAGTAAAAAAACCCAAAAAACTGAATGCTGCCTTTAAGAGATTAAGGACGGGCCCCAATCACTGACAGGCCTTTTCATCAAGTAGGAAGGTATTTCCTGTCCCCATGAATCTGGGCTGACCAGTGACTTCTTTGACCAATACTGTCTGGTGGTGACCCTGGCCTTTAAGAGGATGCCACCTCCTAAGCAGCCTCCTGGAGGCCTGAGCTGCCTTTCTGAATAAGTCTGACTACTCTGATGGAGAGACCACATAGAGTTGCTAAGACACCAGCGAGGGAGAGGCTTGCTGAACCATCCTGCAAAGATGGAGGCATGTGGGTGAGGTTGTCTCCAGGCCAGTCCACCACTTACTGAATACTATCAAGTGACCTGACTGGTCACCACTGGGAGCAAGAGAATTGCCTAGATGAGCCTGTCCTGAATTTCTGACCCACAACATCATGAGAGATGTCCAATAGTAGTTGTTTTAAGTCACTGAAGGTTCGGGTAGTCTGTTCTCAGCAACAGATATCTGGAATGCTAGCTTTCATTTTCTGCCTTGGTAGCAACTCATTCACACATTCACCACTAGACCTACTACATGGGTGACTCTTGAAATCAGTGGGCAATAATATCCCCAGAAAATGTTCACCATTCAACATCTGCTCAAAGATCAACTGCATTATCTTTTGAAGAGATCTTCCAATCACATATTCTTGAATTAACAGTTCACTATAAGCAGTACTGTTACAGGCTATTGCATATCCTAGTTCATCCCAACCTTTTATCATTAAACAGTCAACACGACAGAGTGAAGACAGTTTGGACTCTGGGATCAGACTGGCAAATACTGACTGTGCAGTTTATCCGTGGTGTGACCTTGGGCTCATCAGTTTCCTCCTCTATACAGTGTGGTATGATTATACCTATTAAAGGCAATATAGTCTATCAAGAGTATCAACTCTCGTATGAGACCACCAGGGTCAACCTGTGTCTCGGTTTCTTCCCCTTGAAAGTGAAAATAATAGCAGTATCTACCCTAACAGGATTGTCACAGGATTATAAGAGTCAATCAATGAGAAGCACAGAACTGTGCCTGGCACGTAGTAAGCGTTCAAAGAAGTCAGCTACTTTTAGTTCTTTTATTATTACTTTATAGGATTATTTTCTTCATAGGGTTCGTTAATTCTGTCCCCTTCTTTTGGATCTTTTATCTATGCGGTAAAAAGTGCAGGTTTTAAAAAACATACATTCAGACTCCAACCAAGTGGGTTTAGGACTCTCAAGTACTATAGGAAGCCACATCTACACTACGTCTAAAATCAATGTTGTTATACAAATTCCAAGCACATTGTCTGGCACCAAAAAGTACTTAATATTTACTTAATGGCACAGATTTGCCTGTATGCTACGTACTACTTAAGATGGTGATTTCACAGAATAAACATTTCCCTATAAGATACTTTGATTTTTGGTATTATGGATTAATTCAACTTCTAAGTTTCACAGTAATTAGTAATTAGTACTATTAAATTGTGCCCTTGTCATATGAGGTGCTGCACATAAATCTCTTTTAACTGGATAGTGAATTTTAGTCACTTCAATAAGACTGAGTAGACATGAAAGAAGCAAGCATTAGGAAAGTATTTTCTTTTTTTAACACAACTGCTCTGCCTTTATAATGTAGCTTATGTTTAAAGCTCCCACTATTTGAGCTGGTGGGCCATTATTAACTGTGTTAAGATGGGAGATACTTGTTAAATAAATAATGGGGAGATATGTGGTAAGGAATTTATTTATATATGTACCCTCTGTGAAAATGTGTATTTCAAGTAATAATTGCCTTCTAAGTCATCATTGTCCCTCACAGTTGAGGGAAAAGATAGTCTGCTTACAAAACAAAACTGGACAGTCTGTACAGATATTTTCTAAGTTTGATATCATTGTTCCCATCAATAATTATACCCTTTGGAACTTAATTAAGTCACGTGTTTCAAAGTATTCAAAATATCCAACTTTGGCTTGTTCTGAGCAAGAAAAACCACTTACTGCAAAACAAAAAGACTGGCCCTAGGAAAAGCACCACTTAAGAATAAGAAGATTGAAATCAGAGAATGAGACTAGAAAACAAAGAAGGCAAACATAAAACTGATAATTACCAAAGAAGCCATAATGCTTGGCAAACTCCACTGTTTCTCATATTAAATAGATTTACATTAAATGACATCTACTATAGACCTCAAGTAGGGATGGATGCAAATGATTCGCTGAGCTCATATATCCGAATCCAATTTCTTCCACAAGTCCAAAATCCCAGATTAATCAAGAGTCTCAAATAGTCAGAAGAGCAACAGTCCAAAATGCCAAGAACCCACTATTACTATAAGTGTTTTAAGACAAGGCAGAACAAATGTAGGCAGATATTATCGATTAAGATTACTTATTACTAAGAGGGTGTATTATATAGAATTTACTAATCTCCATGTAAGAGAAAGGCAACTAAGAATCAAATGTCTGGTGAAGAAGTGTCCTTCAGGTGGCTGGGTCACTCATCCGAACTTTGCATGTATTATGGAGCTACACCCACAAGGTGAGAGGCAAACTCACTGGATTGCACCAGCGTGGCCTATAACCCTTTGTTCAGACAAGTACATTTAATGCAGAGGACCATGTATTGTTTTCAAATGGGGAACAACTATATTTTTCTTTTGCAAGGATTTCTATTTTTTTTTTTTAATTTTCCAATTTCTTCACATCTAGCATTGATAAGCTATTTGAACGTAAGAATGAACACTCACTAAACAAATATATAATGGCCCAATATATATTCAGAAGAATTATAGTTGGTAATAGAAATTGGAAGATAGGTCTAAGAAGAATTAGCAATCTTCAGATGTTTCATTGTTTTAAAATATTAAAAAGGGAAAAGGAAGATTTGGCTTTTCAGTACTACACATGGAACAAAGTTTACTTGAGGAAATTAGAATGAAGATTTATAATATAGGAAAAGTTAGAGGTTTTTGAATAAGTACTTTGAATAAGAATCAAACCACTTATTCTTAACAGAAATACAATTTTAATACTAGTGGGAATAAATTCACCCTTGCTATCATGCAAGGCAGTTCAAGTTAACTCAGAGGAATGGCAAAACTTACTTATAAAAACAATTTTTTACCATATTTTATGTAAACATGGTAATCGTTGAACCTTACATTATGCATGGGGATTGTTTTAAAAAATTACTTGTTTATATCTATAACAACCATCCTAAACTTTAAGCTACCTGCACCCTTAAGGCAAGGTCAGATCCTAAGGACTATTCTAAATGTTCTTAAAGCAATGGGAACCATTAAGGAGCACGAGGAGGGTTGTGAGAAAAGGAACTAGGAAAAGATGGCAAACTCTTTTGGGAAACATGCATATATAGCAATGTGAATTAGAACCCTTTTAGACTTATGAATTTGTAAAAGCAAAATGGCAAGACTGACAAATTTGGGGGGTGATGTGATCAAATTTAATTGGGAGCTGGTACACTTCTGTCAGATTTCAGATAGTAAATTCTGCATTTTCAGACTTTGCAGACCATCTGGTCTCAACTTTGAATTGTAGTAGAAAGTAGCCATAAACAACACTTAAATGAAGAGGCGTGGCCCTAGTCCACCATCACTTTTGACCAGGGGGCTGCAGTTTGTTGAACACAGACCTAATTCATAGTCCTAGGGACATACTTTACAAATGGACAGCCTCTGAAATTTAGGGATAACCTGACTTAATTGCTTATTGTCCCTTCTAAATCGCAGGAACCAAAATACTTCAATATTTTCACTCTTTCCCATGAGGCATAAGTAAAAAGATAGAGTTCATAGAGACTTATCTGTTGTTCCTTAAACAAATAAGTACACAAATAAGGAGAAGGACATGTGAGGAAGAGATAAAAACCCTGTCTGTTATATCTAAGAGAAAAAAAAAACTTTCAGGATTCAAACTCCATCCTGACTAAATAAATGCCTTTCCATTATGATTCAGAAGACTTTTGTCTTTGTTTAATTTCCTTTCCATTAGCCATTGCTTTAATTTCTTTAAATTAGATCTTCTAGTCAGACAAAAGGTAGTTTTTACCAGTTAAAGGAAACAAAATCAGAGTCAAGTAATAGCTAACACTTTTTAAAAGTTATTTCATGACAAAAGACTATTCAGTTATTAAGGATGAAGTTCTCTGTTTCTCTCTTTGGTCAGACCACTTTCCAGCCAAGGCCAAATTTCAACTATGAAGTTCAGAGGAAAATGGTTTAATTCTATATGAAACCCCATTTCACAGATGTAGAGGGAACTGGAAACATTAAAAAAAAAATTAAAAAAAAAAATTACACAAAAAAAAGAAACAATCACCATACCCCACAAAAAACAAAACCACCAAAAAACAAAATAGCAAGAAAACTTTCCTTAATTGCCATCTCCCTTGGTTCTCTATCTTTATCCTTTAGTAAGTTATTTTACATATTCAAAATTAGTTTACCGTAACCCTCTGGTACAATGAAATGGCTCTGGGATGGTTTGCAAGTTACATAAAATAAAACTCAACTCAGTTCAGAGGTAAATATGGTTCTGAGTAAAGAGAGAACAGGTCATTAGAAAGAGCCTTTCTGCCTCAGCACAGTGTTACCGCGCATGCCAGTGCTGCATTTTATACTGGTATCAGAGTCCAGAGAGAATAAAGGTACTCCTTAGAATGAAAGAAGATGACTATATTGCTCCCTCTCTTCGTTTGCTGAGACTATTGGGTAGCTCCTTTGCTACGAATAGCCATTCAATGAATAAAAACAGGCCCAGTGTTTGCTATTTCTCGGCATTAAAGTACTTGATGATTTAGCTCTCATTGCTAATGCAGTTCCCTTTACAAGGTGAAGATTTGGTAATCATTTTCAGCATTAGCTAAAGTCATTTAGTACGCTGTTAAAAGAGGTATCCTCTGTGCACACAACAATATAGTGATTCATTGATGTAGATAGAACACTACTAACTGCTATGCTCCTACATGAAGTTAGCTAAGAACTAGGGCAATGTCACAGTGAACTTGGAGAAGAATATGGATAAGTATTCAGAATAATAATATCTCTCCTAGCTAAAATTGCTTTCGGAAACTTGAATTTTCACGAACCTCCTGGCTCTAGTCTAGACCAGTGAAAAGGAGAGAACCAGCGAAGACAGTGCTGCTGGGCTCCTAGCCGACCTGGAGGCACTATTCACAGTATTAACACAGCAAAAGCTATTAGAAATGAGCGAAAAGGTGGGGAATCCACCAAGCATCCATCGCATTTCCATGTCTATTGGACAGTCTCTGCTGCATTCAAAGTGTGTGCTGCCAACTTCGGATAGAGTACTGACAAATGCTGCAAAGTTTCTCTGCACTCCACCTTTACAATTTGGTAATAGTTTAAAAAGCTCTATTTTCTCACTTAATCTAAGAAAACTAGCAAAGCAATAACTTTCCAGCATACTACTGCTAAAACGTAGGATGGACTTAATATTTTTTTGGTAGGCTTAAAAGCTCCGGCTAAAGCAGCATATTCTGTACTTTTCATCTATTAAATTCATCTATTTAGTTATGGCATGATCTGTCCATTGAAAACCTTGATTACCAGCTGAACTATTTCCCTATAGATTTTAGTCTCATTTCAACTCTACTTTTGGTAGGCCACAGAGCCTAGCTGGTCCTTAAGATGGCCTTAAGCAAGAATTTTTACCCTATCATGGTGTCCTGGTCAATGTCTTATAAAGATGAAACAGCTCCAACACAACATTTAAGGGTAGGCTCTTAAACATGATAGCATTATTACACTCCTATTAAAAGACACATTTCTGTTTTTCTAAAGCGAAAAAATAATCATTCTCTAGTGATACAGTGCAGCTGTATGTGTATATACAATTCTTAGATTGCTTCAGAATTACCCTTTGCATTTAACATCCTATCATCAAAGAAATGCCACCTTTTCTGTCCCCCTTCCCACATATCACAAAGCGTACTATTAACACTCACAAATGGCTCACCAGCGCAGGCATGACCAGGCCCTCTTCCAAATCCCTTTAACAATCATCTATGCCTCTGCACCAAGACAGTTTCTTAAACCACTATGTATTTAAATACTAATCTTAACATTTTAATGATCATTAAGAGAAGCTTGAGATTTTTTGCTTTTCTATTTGCACTGTAACCTGTAAGCGTCTACTTGCCTGCATCCCTTAAAAATCTGCCCTCATTCTCTGCATACAGAACCGGGCATCTAAAGCTCTACACGCTTGGTTAATTTCTCCTGACTCTCAGTGCTGGATTAAGAATCTCAGAATTACCAAAAAGGTCTCTTGAAGTTTTAAAAAATCTTAGGAATGATTAAGTAATCAAACCTGATCAAAACTGATGCCTTGATCAATTTATTGCAACATGATTGTGCCTGATGTTTTCTGGTAAATGCCCTGTACTATATTAAAAAGCAAAGCTCTTGGAGTCACCAGCAATTTGCTGATGGTTGGTTTATGAAGTACTAGGATGGCAGACATGAGACATGGATTTAGTGAGGTTCTTCTATTGGACTGAAAATATAAACTATTACTTATGTAAAAGGAAATGGAATTGTGGCTGCAATAAGAACCATAGTGTTGAATTTCTCCAATCAGAAAGCTGCAGAAAAAAATGTGTTTAAAATTTCATAGAAAAGTTATCAAACAGGGAGACCTGTGGATTTAAAAATACAATCCAGGCTCATTTCACTGAAAAGGGACATTTCTGATATTTACTATTGCTGTTATGTGAAACTAGGAGCTGAACAAAGTGGAGGAAACTTTGGTAGTCAGCCTAACACATTACTTCATCTGGACTAGAGCCATTTCCTAATATCCAAAGATATACAAGCACTGTGGTTTACAAATACCAAGCAGTAAGTTGCAGAAGGCTCTGTACTATTCCACGTTTGCAAACCCAAAACTTCCCTCTGCTCCCCTCACCTCAACCCAGCACTCCAGCCCCCAAGCTTAGTGGTACCTATTGCAAACACTGCTGTCATTTCACTTCCAGCTGCTTAAAGTGCTTCAGCGGATGCTGCCTCCAGCATGACTGTTACCGGAAACAGGACAACAGAGCAGAGGCCTAGTCAGGGCAAAGATAAGTCTAACCTTTCAAAACAGTGAGAAGCACCAGGATTCTTTTTTTTTTTTTTCCTTGAAATCTGAAGCTGCACATTCTGGCAGAAAGGAAGAACAGAAGTTCCTCATATGGTTGGCTGGTCCCAATGACCACGGCTCCTGCTGAGTTTTTTAGATGAGGGTGACAGCCACCAGGATGACATGGACCAAAGGACAATGTTCACATGTGACTGGTAGATAAATGAGCATCTATCACTGTTTTGTTAAAAAAAATTTCTTTTTCTTACAAAGTTAACAAACCAAGGCTGTTGATCCCTGAATTAGAAAGTTGATTTGCTTGATATTTTCCAAAGTGTGAGGTGGGAAGGAGGACGGGGGTAGAAAGCCGCTAGTGCTTCTGTGTATGTTGCTGATCCTCTAGTTTGGCAACATCTTCTGATCTAGTGATGTGGCATTTTGTGAATCGGAGTACCAGGCCATGGCCCTGATGCCGGCTGCTTACAGCCCAAAGGGGAAGAGGGTCTGCCCCCTCCCCCTCGATGTTTCAATCTGGCCCAGTGGTGGACACAGAGCCCTGGGCAATTTCCCCAGGAACAACTGTCTCTTCTTGTGAAGGTGACTCTTCCTCGACTTGTCCTCGAGATGTGACAGTTGTTTCAGGGGAGATGCTATGCGGCCCCTCCAGGGGGATGCAGCCAGGGTGGTTTTTGCGAAAGTGCTGATTCAAGATGGCCTGGAAGGGGAAGCTTTTCCCACAAACATGGCAGTGAAAGGGCTTGTTGCCTGTGTGCTTGCGGATGTGATACTCCAGCTGATCTTTGCGGGTGTACTTCTTGCCACACATGCGACAGACGAACGGTGTGATCCCCATGTGCAGGCGCATGTGCCGGTCCAGGCTCCCCTTCTGGTTGAATGATTTGGCACAGTAGATGCAGGTGAGACGGGGGTTGTACCGGAACCACCGCTCAGATACTTCTTGCTCTCGAAGATACTCCACATAGCCACTTACTCCCATCATGGCTGATTCTTCTACCTGTGCCAGGTGAGTAAAATATGCACAAAAGAATATATACTGTGAATAGACATAGTAAAATAAATCAAATCTATTTTACCTATGTTACTAAGCTTTATGCTGATTTTAGAGATCCAAACAGGAAATTATTACCCACAAGTAAAGATGTTAACATAACAATTAAAAAAAAAATGAGGACACTGTATTCCATTACCATAACAGAACAAGAAAGTTAAGTTACGTTCTGCCTGACAAACTGCAAGCTTTTTATGAAACCTCCAATGAATGTTCTATTGTACAGCAACAGAAGAATCTGGGCCCACTCATACCAGCCTCTTGAATTCTAATGTACAATTTTATCTAGATAATCAGGTAGGTATTTAGACAGTGCTGGCCTAAGAGAACTTTCTCTGATGATGGAAATGTTCATTTACCTGCATCATCTAAACTCTCACACATGTCAAGGCATATATTAACTCATTTCAATATCATCTCCAAACAATATTAGTTATTTTGTATTTCTTTACAACCTGCTCCTTCTTCTTTAGTCAGGTAAACATCCTTGTGGGATTCCAATTGTTATCCCTATTACATCTACATATGCAGTAAGTTACCTCTTTCTAACCACTTCATTAAGTACTGCACTTAAATTCTCCACTTTCTTTAAGTGGTTATTGATTCCAATAACTGCCTTTTAAGCACTCTATTCCCACAACACTGTTAACGAGGTCTATATTGTCTCATCTATTTCTGTTTTGTGTATGTGTTAGTCTGCCTTATGTCCCCATTAAGTTATAAGGTCTGCCTCATATTTATTTGCATCATAGTTACCTTCACATAGTCATTACATTCTATTTGAAAGGTGAGAGAAAAAGGGCCCTAATAATAAGAGTAAACTTTTCCTCCAAGCTCCTAACATTTTCTCTAACACCTTATTATATAAATCTAAAAAAATTTCTTATAATAGTTACAATTCCTTTTCTGGTATCAAAAACTGGCATGGTAACATGCAAGTAAATGTAATTTGTAGTAATGTCTTGCTGCTGTTACTATCATACATACACAATAAATGTCCAATGTTTAAGTAAAATCTAAACAAGACACTATCAGTATAATGCAGAAGCCAAAAAAATTAGCTATGAAATCTTAGTCCACCGGTGTTTTCTTTTAAAGGACAAAAGTGTTTACAATGTATTAAATTCTATTTGGCGAGTTCTACTGTCCTTTTAAAAATAAATCTTCAATGATAGAGACCTGTGAGGAAAAACAAACAAACAAACAAACAATATCAATCAACTAGTTATGCTACTTGCAAAGAAAATAGAAGACATAATTCCTATCTTCTCTAAAACATTTTAGTCTAACAGAAGATTCAGGAAGAAAATAAATGAAAAGATATAAGCATATAAAAATGCAAAAGCAGTTGTTTATAAATATTTTCTATTACATAAAGTAATAATTATGTAGTGTTATACCCACCACACATGTCAGAATCAGGCTCTTCATCTCAGGTCCTACATTTCCTGCATGTACTTTTCAGGGGTTATTCTTTTATTTCTATTCTCAGGACTAAAGACTGGTTTAGAAAAGAGTTCCACAATTTCATCTTTTCTATTTCCCAAACTCTGCTAATACCAAAAATGCATTTCCCGCCTGCATCGGCTTTACCTCCTCCTCGAAAAAAGTCATCAAGGAGAATATTTAACATTCCTACATCTCCTCTCCTACATCTTTCCTGTGGGCCTCACACACAGTGGCCATTTCTTCCGCCATCACAGCTACGTACCTGGGAGCTGGGCTGCTTAGGCTCATCCATTCTCCCAGGAGACTCACTTCGGGCTCTGTGTCTCTCTGTCAAGGGGACAACACTGCCGGAGGGGCTAAATCTGTCGGAAGAGGAGCAAAAGGGGACTAACAGAAGAGCAGTGTCAAGGAACTTAAAAAAGGGTGATGTTTACCCTCTTTACCCCATGGCTGACAAAAGGGGAACAAACTGAACAACAGATGACCAAGAAATACTTTCAGGGAGTCAATAATAGGACCTGATTTAAACTAAGACAAGAAAGGTTTGCCGTAGTAAATTTAAGAAATACAGAATTACATACGAGCTAGACCAGTGGTCGGCAAACTGCAGCTCGAGAGCCACTTGTGGCTCTTTGGCTCCTTGAATGTGGCTCTTCCACAAAATACCACGTGCGGGCGTGCACTTTTAGTGCGATTGAAACTTCGTGGCCCGTGTGCAGAAGTCGGTTTTCGGCCTGGGTGAGTCTATTTTGAAGAAGTGGCCTTAGAACTCAAGGGGCCGAAGAGCCACATGTGGCCCATGAGCCATGGTTTGCTGACCACTGAGCTAGATAGACCACAGACCTGGGGAAGCTAAGGCTAAATATAAATTCCATTTTTGTGTAAGAATTGGGAACCATAAAAGAATAAATTAAAACTGGGTCTATAATTTTTTCTTCTATGTAACGATTAGGTTTGGTTGTTCCTCCCAACATTAACTTGTGTATTTCAGACTGTTGATAGAGTAGATCATGGAGAGTCACAATCTTTGCAGTAAGCTATTACTTCTGATACAGTACTAACATGGGGCAATAAGTATTGTGCTCAAGAATATTTTAACTATTAAGAACACAAGAAGGAAAATAGTCAAATCAAGACCACCTGAAGTGGATACAAGATATACTTTTGAAATTTGTAACACATATGTCTCTCAAGACCAGGTATCAACCAACCATTATAACTTTTAAAATTTTCATTGTTCATGCAGTCAATTTTAATTTATTTTATTTTATTTTTATTTTTATTTTTTATTTTTTTTTTTTTAAATATATTTTATTGATTTCTTACAGAAAGGAAGGGAGAGAGATAGAGAGCTAGAAACGTCAATGAGAGAGAAACATCGACCAGTTGCCTCTTGCACACCCCCTACCAGGGATGTGCCCGCAACTGATGTACATGCCCTTGACCGGAATCGAACCTGGGACCCTTCAGTCCGCAGACCGACGCTCTACCACTGAGCCAAACCGACCTCGGCAATTTTAATTTATTTTAAAAGAGGAAAAAGAACATATATGATCAATCTAAGTTGATAATACTTCTTTCTTTTTTTTAAAAAAATGTTTTTTTATTGACTTTAGAGAGAGGGAGGAAGAGAGAGGGGGAGAAAGATGGATGAGAGCGAACCATCTATGGGCTGCCTCCTATACGCTCTCCACAGGGGATCAAGCCCACAACCCAAGCGTATGCTCTGACAAGGAACTGAACTTGCAACCTCTCAGCACCAGGGAAGAAGCCCAACCAATAGAATAGAGCCACACCAGCCAGGCAATACTTCCTTCAACTGAAACTTTCTTTCAGTTTACTTAAAACTATTGCTACTTCCACCAAAAAGAAATGTATAATTACCACTAGAAAGAGAAATGGGAGTCTAATAACATTGGTAAAAAAACCAGACTCTCGGGCCTGTGATAGCAGTCTCCAATGAAAGACAAAAGGAAGACATCAAATGACAAGTGAAAAAAAGAAATAAAAATCACGTCCAAAGCTTGTCTTTGGAATAACTGTATTGTGATTCCACGAATTTAAAAAGAAGAATTACTGCTGGTACCATACCCCTTCTAACTTGATAGGTAGGAAGCAAAGAAAAGTAAACAGCACTACAAAGGCAAGTAAAACTCCCCAGAGACCACCCACCTGGGTGAGGGCACAAGGAAGAAGGGCAAACCGGCCAGGTTCCCAGCTGATGACCAGCCCTCTGCCTGGAATTCCGAGAAAGCCTGGCTAGTTACTGATGACAGCGTGGCTGCAGATGCTATCCTGATTAATGGAAGTGTCTAACTTTACCATAGCTCTTGCAACACTGAATTCTTCAGGACTAGGGACTTCCTGCTTTATCACTCAATTCTTCAGGACTAGAAACTTCCTGCTTTATTTTTATTTTTTAAAAATGTTTCTGTTGATGTTTAGAGAGAGGGGAAGGGAGAGGGAGAGAAACATCAATGAAAGAGAAATAGCAATTGCTACCTCCTGCACACCACCTACTGGGTATCCAGCCTGCAAGCCGGGCATGTGCCCTGACCGGAATCGAACAGTGACCTTCGGTGCATGGAATGACGCTCAACCAACTGAGCCACACTGGCCAGGGCAAGGAGCTTCCTGCTTAAAAAAAAAATAAAAATGCAAATCTTTTGGCATACCTCCAGTTTCCCCAACATACTTATTTTGGCTAAGAGCATCAAGGAGGGAAGATGCTCTCTGTACCACACCGGGGGCCGCTTGAGTTATGTCTGTACAACAGCTGTTCCATGGATGAACAAAACAAAAGAGAACTTACCTGTCAATCTCACTGCTTGTTGGCCGAGTCACCTTGACTCCTGAAGACCCTAAAGTGTAATTTTCCTGGGCTACGGAACCATGGCCCGTGGTGTCAATCACCATGGCTGTGACTTCCTCGGCACTGCTCCCGTCTTCTCCGGAAGGCTGATTCTCAGGCCCCAGCCACTCCTCTAGATTTTCCGTCTTGATGTGCACTGCTCCAAGAACCCTCACGTCATCATCGCCCCGGGCCCCTCGGTCTGCTACTCCCGTCTCCACGTACCACTGTCCTGCTCGGTTGATCCGAAGAATAGGCTCCCGGCTCTCTACGTCGGAACTCTGTTCAATGATCTGAGGGCTGGTGGACTCCTCGGGAGGACTGAGCTCTCTGATGTCCAGCACAGCACTAACCTGACCTCGCCGGCTTCCCTTCGGGGCATTCTGGCGCGGGCTAAGGGAGCGGTTTAGAGTTGGTGTAACCCTGTGAGACTCCGCAGGTCTCTCTGGATGCTTTGTCCTCGTTTGGCTTAATTCTGCTTCAACCTCAGCCACGTTAATTTTGAAGTGAATGCCTTCTAGGATCTGGGTGCACTTGTCTATAATATGCTGCATCTGCAGAAAACTGGCAGCTGTCAGGTAGCTGATGATATCTGCCAGCTGCAGGCATATCCGCCCCGTATAACAGAAAGAAAGGAGCTGTTCAAACACTGTGGGGTTCTTGATGACCGAAATGGAGACAGTACTCATCTCGTTCAAGGACATGTGGTCCCGGAAATAGGGAGAGCTGGCGGCCAGCACCACTTTGTGAGCCCGAAAGGCTTGTCCTTGCACGTTGACCACGATATCGCAGAGGCGGCCCTGCATGCGCAGCTGGTTCAGATGGCTCAGGACAGAGTTGCTGAAGTCAGGGATCTCCAGTTGTATGTTACCACCCTTCTCCATGGTGGGGCCTGAGGGTGTGGGCAGGCATTCAACCCTGTGAAAGAGAAAACCGGATTCGCATGAACAATTACAATTGTACCCCCCTCATGCTTTCCAGTTCAAACCTATTTAAAAACATCATTTGGCAACATTTCAAAATCTCCCAGTAAAGGGACACCTGCCTTATGTTTAGATATGGAATAAAAAAACCAACAGGCTTTTTCAGTTTAGGTTTCACAGCAAGACACCATTAAACTAAAAAAGAGATTGTTGGCCCTAGCCAGGTTTGGCTCAGTGGATAGAGCATTGGCCTGCAGACTGAAGGGTCCCGGGTTTGATTCTGGTCAAGGGCACATGCCAGGGTTGGGCACTTGATCCCCAGTATGCATACCCATGATTCTCTCTCATCAGTGATCTTTCTATCTCCCACTCCCTCTCCCTCTCTGAAATCAATACAAATATATTAAACACACACACACACACACACACACACACACACACACACAAAGTGATTGTTAGATTTCTAAAAATTCAAGCTATGCCCATACTTTCTTTACTAATAAGCTTACCAACATCAAAATAGAGTTCAACAGAACAGATAGCAGTTGTAATCATAAGTTATTTGCACTGAATATAAAATCCTATGACTTTTTCTTGGAGGAAATACGTTTTTGAATAAGTATATTTATGCACAGATAGGTTGATTAGAGATGCCTCGTCTTGATATTTTACTACTTGTGTGAATTTATTATTTTACAAAAGTCACTACTATCCCACAAGAATGCAAGCCATTATTTTTAAGGGTGAGTCAGAGCCCTCACAAAAAGGATTGAGAAAAGGTGACACAGGACTCAACTGAGATGAGGAGACTGGAAGTTCACTCTCAGAATTAGGAAAAGGGAGGTACACCTACCCCCACCTCAACAATCTAATTTCAAAGCTGGGGATTTCAGGGTGGGGATGGTACTTTGATTCTGACATTTAGTTTCCCAAATACTGGTAAAAATATAGAGCATTTACCACGTATGGCCAATATTTTTACATTTGAAAAGATTTTAAAGACACTAAGCCTAACTGCATCCAACAGCTTTTACCTGGTTGAGAGTAGTTTATATAAACCCCACTTGGAAGACACTAACTTGAGCCCAATGTGATTGCATTTATCTGTAAAGTTACATTACATTGTTATCTAAGACCTGAAACTTCAGGAACTTATCTGACAAGCTCACGGGACTGCCAGGCATTCACCACACACCGATCAGTAAATAAGGGACGTGTATACACACTGTTTTCAAGAACCAACTTTTAGCCAACCTGACCTTTTTCCAAAGCGTTTTTGTTTGTTTGACAACTTTTAATCCAACAAGAGCCTCTGTCGATGCCATCCTGAATTCAGATGTGTTTATTTTGGAGCCTACACCAGCGCCTTTTTGTTTGCTCTTTCCGGCAATGCCCCAGAGTGAGGAGGAGGAGGCCCCTGGAGTAAGGAAGGTCTTTCACTCCCGTCGCCACCGGAGGAGTGAGAGCTGCAGGAGGGAGAATCGGGAACGCCGTGGGGTGGGCCGCTCCGGGACTTGAGTGGCTTCCGTCGGGGTTAGAAGCGCGGGGAGCGGGGAAGTGCCTGAGCCGCGGAATGTCACCGAGGAGCCGGGGAGGGGAGGGGAGAGGGGGGCCCGGCGCGAGGCCCGGGCCATCAGGTGCGGGGTGAGGACCGGGAAGGGGGCGGCGCCCCAGGACCCGGGCCAGGCGGGAGGTGGAAGCGGGCGCAGAGCAGCTCAGAGGTGGGTGTGTGTGTCTGGGTGTGGCCGGTGGGGGAGGGGGAGGGGGAGGGGGCCGCCTCTCCCGGGGTCCTGAGGGAGGGACTCGGCGAGGGGGCGGGTCGGCAACCCAGCCGGGCCCGGGGCCAAGGTGGGTGGCAGGTCTCGGGAGCCTTAGGGTGGAGTTGGAGGAAGTGGCTGAGCGCCCCGGGAGCTGGCGGGCAGAGGAGATCGGGCGGGGCTGCCCCAGGGCAGGGCAGGGCGGCGGGACGGGCGTGCGGGGGCCCCGGCCCAGTCAAGGAGCGGCACCTACCTCCGGGGGTGGAAATGGGCAGGAATGGGCCTGAACACCGTCCCGGAAGTGAAAACCCCCGCCCCCTCCCCTGGAGCGGGCGACGTGCCGGAAGGAAATCACTCACCCTTCTACCATCCCCTTTCCCCCTCCCCCAGCGCTTTCCGTCCCCGCGCCCCCTCCCCGCTCCCGTCTTCCTCATCTGCCGGTTTGGAGGGTGGGAGCTCGGCGTCACTACGGCCATGGTGGCCCCGCCCACAAGTCGAGGGGGTGGGGCCAAAGGCGGGCCCGGAGGCCCGGACGAAGGCGTGGCTGGAGGAGGAGACTAAGGGGGAGGAGCTAAAGTCGACGCAGGCGGGGGAAGTGCGTCATGACGTCACAGAACGAAACCCTTATGTACAGGCGCCCGGGCGCCATCTCGGTCTTTCGAGGATGGAAGTCGGCTGCAGGTACGTGTTCGTGTTTTCGCGGGTGCTCAGTGGGTTCTTGGCTCATGGCCTCAGGTCGTGGCAACTAAAATCGCCCTACACGCGCCGACTTTTATGGGCTTAGTTGCAAGGCTGTGCGGGAGCCTCAAGAGGAGGATTGTAGTGGATTGCGCGTTGGATGCGGGCTCGTCATAAACTCCACTGCGGGGAACACCTCGGCTCGCGCGCCCTGCCTCTGATGAAGCTTACGTTGGTAGGGACATCTGAGACTGTTGATGAATGCCAACAGCTCTGATGGCGGCGCACGCGGAGCCACCGAGTGGGGGGTCTCTGTTCATGGCCTCGGCCAGAGCCACTTCCTCCTGGGAAGGCCAGGTTATCGGGAAAGTCCACGTGGTTCTCCGAGTGGCTGCATTCCGCACTGCACCATTATTGCCGTCAGAGGTTCTTGTACTGTGCTCAACTGATAGTGCGCTTAGTGCACACATCGTAGTATGAAATTATGGGGGATGTAAACCATTTGCATAGGCGGCATAAATCGGCATAAATAATCTAGAGCAAAATGTACTAAAGATAATATTTTTCCCTAGGAATGATGCGAGGCACGAGTGCAATGTGGCATCTGATGGACAGGTAAGAATCGGGGTAAACCTGGTGGGAAGGATGAAATTTGCTTAAATGTGGGGTGTTTTTTGTTAAGCCTGTGATGGTTGAAGAGTAGTGGACAGAAGGAATTTCTGAAAAATCCTATTCTGAGGCTTCAGTATTCGTGACATTAACGGTTAACGTGGCTGTGTAGCATGCTTCATTGGGTATTCTTTGTTTTCTAGTTCTGTGCCAAAGGAATGAGAACTGCTGTTGGGGTAAGTGAACCGAATTTGGTATTTTTCCCCAGGGGGAAGTTAGGTTGAAATACATGCAAGGTGCCAGAATGATGACATTTTATTTGCTACTCTCGACTGTGAGAATGACGAGAAGTATTACCACCATTACCCAAACTGAGGCACACAAAAGGGTGATTTAGAAAAAATAAAGATTGCACCTAAGTTAACGTGAAATTCTTCCCTTCTCAGGTCTTAAAGTGCAAGCATCACACTCTGGCCATGAGCAGACAGGTGAGAAACCTTTTTTATATATTGTACTTATTTACCCAGGACTTTTCAATGATTTAAGGAATCACACATTGCCAAATCGTGCTGATCCTCACGGTCTTAAGCCTTACCTTTTCAAACATGAACGTCAGCACTGATTGTTTAGCGGACACCTAAAGAAACAGATACTGTGATGTTTGCATAGTTCAGCAGATTGAATTCTGAAGAGATGTACCACTTGTCTGATGTGTCTGATGTGAAACGTTTACTGGTAACGGCATAAGCAAAGAGCCACTGCTAATTTGGCTTTTTCTTTTTTACTTTGGTGTAGGCACTAAAAAGGACTAACTGGAAGTTGGAATGGTAAGTAAAATTAGTTTCACATCGGTAACTGGACAAATACAATGCTTTTAGGGTTTCCTTCCAATGCACAGAAAGTGCTTGAAAGGTGTGCTGAGTGCATTAAGTACCCGGTCCTTGTCCTGTCAGCATTCCTAAGATGTCCAAAGTGTAAAAGCCTGTATGATGATAAGCAAATACTGACTGACTGTGAAGTCTTAATTATTAGCTCTATCTGATTTCAGGCATTTTTTAGATTGATAAGGAGAAAAGTCATCTTCAGCTATTGGTAAACCACTTTTTTTCTTCCGTAGGTGGACTTGAATCTCTTGACATGTCTGGACTGGCTTGATTTACTTCTTGTAAGTATTGTTAAAAACATTCTAGTGGACTCAAAACTGAGAATGTTGAAAAAGTATGCTGCATAACTACCAAGCTCCTAATGCTTATGTTCTGTGTTTGATTAGTTGAGTGCATGTTGTGCATGCTTTGAACAGGGTTTTTGTAATGATGTTGATCAAATGTCTGACCTGAAATTAGCATGTAGACAAATCTTAACACTGAAGAACCCTGTGACATGTAACAATGAGTACAGAATTTAATTATATTTGACATTAATGAAAATGTTCTGTTTCCCTTCTAGCTGTTGGATACACATTTTTTTTATCCTTGGATGGCATGCTTGGGGTAAGAAAGACATGAGAACAGATTTTGGCTTCTACAAATTTATATTGGGTAAAATGCTTTTCTTAGTGATGGTTGACTGTTACTGTTTTCTGGTGGGCAAAGCCATTGATTTGAGAAATAGTCTAAATAAATACTTACTTTTTCAGATGCAGGTTTTGGAGACACTAAAAATAAAGGTAATGGATTTTATTATTCTCAAAGAGATAACTAAGCAAGGTGCTGTTAGTGATGATTTAAAAAAAACAGTTGGGAATCTCTCTGAAAAAGAATGAAGACTTTTATTTATAACTGAAACAGTGCCTGGAACATTTTAGAAATTTTCCTATTATTGCCTGTTACTAAATTTGAAAATACTTCTGCAGGTGTGAAGCGTTGGGTTGGCTATAAGCTGTGGAGCAGAGTTGTAAGCAGAGGTATGGCAGCTTTG